AGTCAGGCTTTGAGTCCTTAGTTTCTTCGCTTTGCTTCGCCCGCTTTTCCTTCTCGATAGACAGTATCACATCTCGCTCAGTAACTGAAAAACAAGGCGACGAGAACCATTCACCGTTTTTGCACAGCTCGTCGCGAGTTTTCACGAAACTGTACATCAGCTCGCATGCATCTTCGTACACCTAAACGTAAAACAGGGAAAGGTTAAATTCCTGATCAATATACTAGCCAGAAAACAATGTATTACCTGAGATTCGACACTGGACAGGTTCTTGGCCCGATTCAGAACATGGAACATGTCATTCTGGAAGCAGTCTAGTCGCTTATATCTCCTCTGAAAACGTATAAGGTAAGAGAAAAAACAACCGTTTGAAGTGAATATTACCTTGTCTAAGTTTTTCTTAATTTGATCCAAGGTAGTAGGCATCCTAACATGATAAAAAATTGCAAAATTTAATAGCAGATATAAAACATACAGAAAAATATGAAACAGCAGCAGTTCAACAATTCAAACAAGATTAATAGAATCTGCAGCAGTTAAGATATGCACTTCAGGGATAGAAAATATTTTGCCTTCGGCAAAACATAAGTCGTTCGCTACCCGTAGACACAGAAACGCAATACATGGAGCCCGAGGAGCTTTAATCCAGGAAGAATTTAGTAATCACATTAAAATGTTGGATTCTTCATGCCGTTGTATTTACATAATTTGAGGGGATGGCGTCTAGTGTCAGCACAGATAAACCTGGGTCAACGGTCAGATTTAGCTCAAAAGATTCCTGAACACTCTCTAAACTCAGAGATAATCATCCTCTGAAAAGATACATGGTGAAAACAGGCAAAGTTCACAAACAAAAAAATTTGTTCTTTTAAGAATCATGCTGTCTGAAGTTCCGTCACCATCTACATAATCTGTCGCCACCTCGCTTTAAGACATTTGCCGCTGCAACAACGGTTTAGTTTCTAGTTCCCGGAAAAACTGTGTAACTAAATGTGTATTTGTGAAAGCTCTCCAAAGCCTGACCTCTTATTTCTCTAACCACTTGCCGGAACGAGTAACGACCAAAGAAATGAATGGCCACAGTGCAGTGTATTTTCCTCATCCGCGAAACCTGACATTAAGTCAGGTAGCCAGTTTCTAGTCTCTATCTCTTCTTCTCTTCATAAGACGCTAGGAACGCATCAGTATATATAATGTCTTAAGGGATATACAATGATGTGATGCTGCTCTCATAGTCGTCTATGTGTCTTACACAGCGGCGTTTAACACCAGTGTTTTAAAGATTTGTTATGTGTAGCTTCTTTGAGGTGGTATCTCTGAATCTTGCATCGATCTTCTGTAGCGGAGGCAATATTCGTCTTCGTAAACAAAATTTTCCTCAAGTATGTTTTGTTGTTCTGCTGCAAACGAAATCATGTGCCCATTTCTGAATTCTTTCAGTCATATTTTTCTTAAACAAGTAGTCATCAGAATCGAGTAGCCTCTAATATTCAGGTGCATTATCGCAATTTGAAAATACTTCAGTAACGGCGTTAGCTCAAACTGAAGAGATACAGTACGCACAGAACGAGAAATGGGTGTCAATTCTTTGCTATTTCTTTTTAGTCTTACGTAAAAGTGCATGTAACAAAACATCTATCAACCAGTCACAACCACGTCCGATACCATTAAAAATGACAGACAGATGAACAGCTGAAAGTGGCAGTGACAAGAAGCAAATCATTCCGCCCAAGGGACAATGCTAGCGGTGAAGAACAGGAAAGCATATAAATCATTTTCCTTCTGTGAATCTCAAATACAGATGTGCAAGGTTTTCATTCAACTTGCACTGGATACCCTATATGAGAAGTAAATAAGGTGGGGTTACGAGAATTCATTACGAGAGTTTAGACAACCCCTTTCGGAGACAGCATTTCAAAAGGTTAGATATCACAAATTTGGATGACTGCATGCTGCAAGCTTCACAAGCGGTAGATAAATTACGCAAACAGCGATTCAGTTGTGTTACTCTCAAATCACACAATGTCATCTTATCATTAAAACATTCATAAAAAATAGATTTAAAGATGAAACTGTGTACCTTTCTGATGGAGAATGCAACGCTGATTCTTGAACTTCGGCGAGAGAGTCGCTGTAGCACCGGCCATCTTCATCCTAAACTTTAAAGTTTCGAATTCTCGTTGTAGCTGTTAACAATGCAACACTGGTTGTGACTAAAGTGTATTGATATCTGTAATCGATCGTAATAGATTTATAAAATGGAAAAAAGTTATGAGACTGAATAAGTTAAATCACACTAAGGTTTACAAACGAACAAAAGCAATAATCTTCCGCTTTATTTTTGCATTCAAACCTTTACTATGCAGAAGTGAATGAAAATTATTTTTCGATCTGTTGTCATTCCGCCTATTTCCTCAGTTTCAACAAGATACAACGGTATCTGGAGAATAAAGGTCTTCGAAATTATTACAAAATGAAGAGCGCTTTTGGATCAAAGATATAGCGGAAAGAACGAAAGGGATGTGCATCGTACAGTGCAATGACTGACAACATCTACAATGGAAAGACCTAGGAAAACTACCGTTTCTCATGCTTCCTACCTCGAGCACTAGCTTAGTCCAGTAAATGTCCCTACAGTTAATATTGAGTAGATAAACATAAGACTATCAATCAAAGAATGTTTGCAAATAGTGGCAAACAAAGCCTGATTATGTAATGAAAGTGCTAGCCCATTCGAGCTACATCTGAAATGTCATCAGCATAACTTGTTCGCAAGGACTACTGGAACAAAGTTTCCTGTCACTAAAATACTCGTATAACTGCTACGTTTAACATTTGGCAGTCTTTACAATACATATTACCTTGATGACGATAGTGATGTGCAGCGTCATGCATTTGCGAATGCATAATTTTAAATCATCCTAGTAATCTACTGTCTTTAACAATGAATGTAGGGAAGTACAGAAGTAACAGTCACTGAGACAGGCGACAACTCTACATCTACTCCACATATATTCAAATTCCTGCTAAGTTGATTAGATTAGGACTAATTCAAGTAAATGCAGTGTATTCAGCGCAATTCTTCCTATTCTCTGCCCGTGGGGGAGTGATGGTAGAGTACCTAAGAGATTAATTTTGTAGAGGCTGAATTTGACTGCGCTCAAGGAATAAAATTTTTTAAACGTGAATTCCCCCGAAAAACGAATTAACTTAAGTTGCTTCAGCGTAATCAGTCAAACAACGTGCAGTATGTAGGTGACTTGCGAATAATGGGAACATCTAGCATGATATTCTAGTTTGATCATTTTAGAATGGACGAGGTGTACGCCCTTGTTGTCCGATGCAAGCATTTCTTGTGGCAGCAGTTCGCTTTGTTCAATCTGACAGTTATTTATCAAGTGTAATAACAAGCACAATGTGTAACCAAGATTTCAATTTCAAAGGTAAACGGCACGATAAGCAACTCCAAGTAACATCTCTATCTTGTGCAACCTAATATATCTGGGGCGACCATTGTCCTAATCCTGTTCATAAAACCTGTTGTCTTTCCAATGTTCGTTCTTTCTGTCTTCAGCAATGAGCAGAACTACATTTTTAACACTGTACTTGTTCCTTCACATGACATGACAAAAATGTCGCATTTTCACGACTAACCATTAAAAACAAAGAAGCATTAATCGTTATATACGTATCTAAAGTGTTTCCAGAATAATGTATCCAGTAAAAGTTGTCTGCGATATTAAATATGGAATACTTTAGCATAATGGGACTTCATGTTTGCAGCTAGCGTGAGCTCGTACGAACTGAGTGACAGCTAAAATGGCATCAGCAATCTCGTTCAAAAAGTGTCTAGACCACTTAACTATGAGAAATTCTGATGTCTGGATTAGAGCTCGCAACTGTTTCGTGGTCCATGCGAGATAAAAAAATTTTGCTTCCGTCCTAATTTTTGGCTTGCCATAAACCATGAATCAAAACTACCTGGTATAGAACAATTATTTTCAAAGGCTAGGAATCCCTTTCCTATTCGAGATAGCGTCAAGTCTCTGATGAACTTGTACTCATTTACCCATCTTAGAAGAAAGAAAGAAGAATAACCAGACCAGCATGTAACCTAACATCGTTCGAGAAAGTTTCCGACGGTTGGCCGAAACAGCTATCACAATTCGAGTTACATGGTGGATGAACGACTGAAAAAACTTAGTCGTACATTTTTATGGACCTCTTACTTAAATCGATTATTAATCACATAAAGAATGAAAAAATGTGCAAATGATGTTCAAACGTGAAAATTCAAGCATTCAGCGAAAAAAAACTTTAGTTCGTTTACCTGATGATTATAAACCGTGATGAAAATTCTGGCCAACAACTCTTGAACGGCACTCTGCACGTCGATAACCTTTCCTAACAACTCATTTTCTTGCAGTTCAGACTTTTTCTGAAGCAGAACTCGCTGCAAAGTCAACGCATCCTGAAGAGATCATCCAAAAAACGTAAGAAGAACCCCTCATCACTGGCCCTCAGCTTTTGATTTACCTTATAGATCCTTGAGTCAGGATCGTTGTATTTGCAAGCGTTGTCAAACATCAGCGCAAAGTCGGCCACCAACGCATCCAAATTTTCGTACTGGCCATTGCTTAAACGACTGTGAATCTTCTGCAGATCGATTGGCTTTTTGATGACTTCGTAATAGTCAGGATAATCCTCAAAAAATACTTAGATGTATAAACATTATAAACAACACACAATGGCACGTACGTTCTTCGACGGGAGTTTCAAAAAAATGGAGGAGAGAATGCGGGATTTAGAGTCTGCATAGTTTTTGATCGCCAGAAACAATTTCCATAGTTTATCTGAGCTAGCGAAAGAACCACATACGGCTTTGCGGCCGGAATAGGAATTTGTGTCTGAACTATAACTGCCGCTTCGCCCGCGACTCGTAGCCATCAACTCCTTCAATCCGATGGCACCACTACGCCTTGAGCTGTTTCTATAATGAAATACGCAAATGACCAACTGTTGGCAGCATCTTATTTGCAAAACAGTCACAAAAAATAATGCATCGAAATTCATTCATGTTTAATAATGGCGTACTCATGAAAAATGACTATCTGCCCCAAAATATTAATTTTATTGA